GGAGGTTTTAGGGATTACACAAAGGAAATTTGATATTTTTTAAGATGAGGAAAAGTATTTTTAATTTTAACATGAAAATTACTTTGCACACGAACCATTCAAAACAAATACTCAATATATTCGTGGACAAATCTTTATTTTATTTTGTTAAGAATACTTCACTAAAAATATGATTTTTTGTATGTAAAACACTTATAATATGAACTGAAAGACTGGCAAATTTTGTGAATATATACACACTATATTGAAAATTAGAAGTATTAAATTTATAAGGACTTTAAACGAGTACAAAGAGGTCACATGATTGGTCAAATTGACCGAGCCCATGTTGAGAGAGTTAATCCCTCTCAAAAGTTGTTTTAGTAAATTTTCAAAAGTAGAATCACAATAAGCAACAGAGGTGTGCAAACAGGCTAGTAGAAATGAGAAATTGTCCCAAACTGAAACTCTAAGGATCCAACTATATTTTTGCTATAATAACTGAATTATTATACAGTGCAATATACACATTTGTATTCATTGTAGTACTTCTTCCACAACATTACAAAAATAAAACAATCTGCCACAACACATGTGATAAAAAAAAAATCTGAGCAGGTTTTATGTTCAACATGTATGATGAAATCTAACAAATCCTATGCCATTGTGAAATGTGGAACACCTTGCTCTTTTTCACCATATCTAGTTAAAAAATCATGGAGTTATAAGTAATTTCACCCAACTACAACTGTTTTTCTCTTATCAATAAAGTTTTGCATTAAAAAATAAATATTAAAATCTAAGTAGTAAATAATCACTCATGTTATAGCATGTTATAAGTACAAAATTAAATAATTAGACATCTTAATTTACAAGTTGGTAATTAATTTGTGCCAGTTATTGATAAATGGGCTATTAATCTTACAGAAATTTCAGTGACTGTAAATGTTTAATGAGGTGAAAGAAAAAACAGTTATCATTATGTAAATTTATATAATGACTTAATACAGAGTCAGCTTTTATAAACATGCATATATTCCATGCAAGCTGAATTGCACTAAACTTGGGCTAGTATGTAGGCAATTTACCCGTTGTCCAAGCTCATAATTTGGTAGTCCCAGGTGTCAGGCTAAATTTTTACCTCTTGAAGAAACTCTTAATAGGAAATGCAAACCAGAAGTGAGAAAAATGGAAAAGAGCATTTATAGAGTTGTGCAAATAGCTTAATGGGCAATTGAATATTAGTTCCAGGCAAGTGAAATTTTACACCCCTTACTTGAATGGACAAGTGAGTTGAAAAGTTAATGTCGAGCTGTAAGTTATTAAAACCTTAAACAAATTACAAGCTGGAAAGAGATGTTATAGCTTAATGGGCAATTTTTTATAAAAGTAAATTATGAGAAAAGTTTATTTTATAATTTTTATTATATTTACTACAGTATCGTTGATATCTAAGAGAACTTCTCTTACTTGCTCAACATTAGGTTGATTGATCTGTATTTATCTGCTTCACTATATGGCAAAGGTCACATTTGAAATGTAGGATGCTTGATAACCCTGTTCATTCTTATCTTAAATACCCAAACTCGCTGTCAATACCCTTATTTCAACTCTATCTGTAGGCAAAAGATTGTGAATACTTTAATATTACAAATTCCAATCAAAAATTAAAAGATCAAATATATCATTTTACTGTAACAATTGTTATGTAAGTAGGTGTCTGATTTCCATAATGTAATGGCAGCTATCAACAATTCATTGCCCTTCAAACTGCTTAGTCCTATATCATTAGCAGGATTTCATGGATAGGACACAACTTCAATGGTACATCATTATCACTTGGACAGCTTTGAATATCAAGAAGATAGGTATTATAAGAAACTTCTGCAGGTGTTTGTAGCTCATCTGAAAATCCTGTAATTGTAGATCTATTGTCCATAAAAAATACAGATATTATACGTGTATAATCAGAAGTGTAGAATTTATTGTATCTCAGAAAATTATAATTCTTTTTGGAACTTAGTAACAAAATCTATTACAGTACTGTAGGTTTATTCTAATATTCAAGTAAGAAACCACATTATGCTAATATGATAATAAATTCAGAAACAATGACTTAAAAACATAATTAAGTGATTTTTTTTGGGGGGGTACATAATTCATGTTTCAGCAGAACATTCTGTTCTCCCCAAAATCATTCACTTTATTATGCTCATAGATCATTGTTTACCAATTTATTATTATTCCAATACTCACAAATCAAAAGAGGATTTTTCTTCTATTTTTTCTTGAAATACAATCTGAGAAGTTTTTTTTTCTTTCTTCTTGGAAAATCTTGCATCTGTTTTTGGCAATCACATAGCAACAGTGACTAGCTTCACTAATAAATACAAGGCAAGTGAAGATCATCTATACCCCACTAAGAAGGTTTGGTTGACCAAACTGTAGTTAGTTGGTGTTCATGGAACAGATTTCTCAATAGTAGAAATTTTTCTTTGCAGTTTCTTTTTCCAATGCAGGATTTGTGACAGTTTCCACATATTGAAGTGGTAGTAGTTAGGTGTCAGTTTATTGGGAATTGCACTAAAGACAAATAAAGAATGCTTTGGCAAAGTCAGGTTATTTAATTGTCATAACGTAGGAACAAAGAAGCCCAAATGTGTAATCACATTGTTGGATCATTACATGTCTACATTTATACTAGTTTTATTTTGAATTTGATTCCTAACATAAAAATATATACATGGTTGTCCCTGTGCTAAAATCAGGAGTTTGATTCCCCTTAGTGGACACAGCCGATAGATCGATAATGCTTTGCTATAAAAAAAAACACACACATTGTTCTGGTCTCGAAAGAACTTTGTAATGTTCACCAACCCACCACAATTAAATTAAAAAAGGTATATGACTACTTGTTTTGAGAGCAAAGCTATACAATATAACTATTTGCGCTCTGACCACCACAGGTATCGGGGTCCTGTTCCTAGCATTGTAAGTCCACAAGCTTTGCACTGATTCACTGAGGGATAATATATGAGTAATATCATGCTTTTGTCTTCAGTTGTATCTGTCAAAAACATATTAATGTTCCAAATTAGTTAGCATACAATTTTAACTAATGACAAAATTTATCTTTATCTTACATCTCTGAACATTTGGAAAGATGAATAACTGAAACTGGGAAGAATGATTGCTATAATTACAAACGTTTGTAGAACTCATTATTTTACTGTGTTTGAGTCACAAATTTTATTCCATGATGTGAGACAAACATGTATGTATAGAATTGTGTATGTATACATAAAATGCATAATATTGAATGAAAATAAAAGTTTTGAAAAAATTCTACTATCGAATCTGAAATAAGAAGGGCCTCTATGCAATCTGATATAATTAAGGCTTTCTTTGTATGTTAGCAAATATTGTAGGTTTGTGTTTCCCATATAGTGTTCTTCTGTGTCCTAATTAGTAAATATGGGAGGAGTTGACCTTCAAGGCAACTAACTAACAGGAGCAGTAGGGAGGCTAAAGTTATATGCCAGTGATTCCACATTATTACATATTTTCTGAAAATACTACTTAGTGGAATCCTATAAATTATTGACAGGTTTTTTACTAGCGATGTTGAATATCTGGGTGGTAATCGAAAAGATTGACTTAGACTGTAATTGCCCTGGAGTTTAGATGAAATGTATTAAGGAAATTTCTAACACAGTATCACCATACTGTAAACTACCTTAGCTTCAGGTTATGTGCGTCACATCTACAGATAGAACAATACCCATATCTTGCATTCCATTGCCAGACAACTATAAGCAATCATTAGCATAACAATCTGTGAACTTAGGAAAAACAACTTGAATATGTTAGATATTTATTCTACTAATTATCAAAAGTTATAATTATTAATTATCAATAGTTATAAATACTTCAATCTGAATATCACATCTTTACTTTACAAAAAGTAGAAGAAAATGTCATTTAAAATATCTAATAAGTAATAAGGGTAGAGTGAAAACATTCTGAACTACTTCAGATACTGTAATTACAGGTAATATTATGTAATATCTGATGACTCTACAATTTACTTGTAATTTTTGTTATTCAAACATGTGAATCTCTGTGCATTAATTTATTAACTCCTATGTTTTGAGAAAAGAAATTGGGGAAAATAATAACACAGTATTAAAATAGGTACACAATTAAAAACATTTTCATTAAGGGCAGTCTATGACCACTTAAAAGTTGACTACATTTTTCGATGTTGCAATGTCAAAACGTGTAGTCAACTTTTTAGTGATCATAGATTGGCATTTATTAAGATATTTTTAATTTTATACCTATTTTAACGTTGTGTGTTATTTATTATTTTAACATTATACACAGGTGCCAAGATGTAATACTCAGAAATTTGGAAATAAATGTATTCACATAAGATCTTCTAAAATATATTTTACTTTTTACATACACAAGATCAAGTTATGAAAATTCTTGGAGCTGGTAATGGTTCTAAAATGTTTGGTTTATAAAAAAGTGAAACATTCTGCTATTATTGACATTTTGTATTAACAGATATTATCAGCAAATAACTTCAATAGTAATGAAGCTGCTAATAAATAAAACACAATTATGATTGGATAATATCAACCACTATTGTTCTGAAGAAGAGTTACAGCCTTTGACTTTTCTTGGTTGTAAGCATAGTTACTAAACTTAATATACCTTCTTTAATTGGCAGAAAATTAATCTGACTACCTGATTAACACCTTCTTTGAACATTTTGAACTATGGCCACTAAGCCAATCCCATTTGGCTTCTTAACAGGCAATAAAAGTATTCAAATCCTTTCATGCAACTGATACAAGAAAGTCATTGATGTGCTAGCCCCACCTGGTGATCTTAATCATTAATTAAGTGCCTCAGGTCCTAATCTTGAAAATATGAATGTGGTAAATCAAACCATTATTCATTTTTCTCATTATATGTTTTTTACTAGCTATTGAAAAACCAAATAGAGCATGGCAAATGCTTTCGTTTTATTAATCATGTTTATATGCTGTTTCATAATTTTGGTATCTTAAAAAAGTATTTTTCTGTTCAATACAAATGAATACAAATATATGTTGAACTGCTTGGGTTAAAACAGTGTGAAAGAAGTTTTTTTAGTTTTTCTAAATCATAAGCAGGAGAAATACCTTTTATCTACTCAAGCAAAACAAACATACGAGACATGGCATATTGTTGTGTGCTTAATATATTTAAGAAATGGCTTTGTGTATGTGGGTTTATTAGGTTTTACACAAGTTGTGAAAATGCCACAAAAACATTAAATAACATAGAATTGTTGATCACATATATATTATAATTTTCAAAATAGTTTTGCAATGGCTAATTTTATGGTTTGGTTCTCTAAAATTTATGAAGTACATTATTGGTGAACTTGGCTTTACTTAACTGTTTTGTTGAAACGTTAATTTTTTGGACTATATATCATCACTTGAAATATTTGTATGTCTGTCAAGAAAATAATTTGAGGCTACATTTTAGTGCAGTTCATGTTTTGTTTGTTAAAAGTGTGATGAGTCTTCCTTTGAATATTATTTTAATACTTCATTGTGTATTGTACACATATACAGAATAAAATGGATCCATTGATTAGTAAATTTTTCAGTGACTAACCTGATAAATGTTTAGTTATATTTCACCCGTGAAATTTTAAGTTTGTAATATGATTGAATACAAGCAAATAATTGGTAATCTTTTTTTTTTCTTCTGATGCATGCAGAAGGCATAAAATTGACCACCTCTCTATAAAGAGGGTATTATAAACAACTGCTAAACCTCTGGTATTGTTTTAATTTTTCCTTGTTGTTACCCACCAGTGTATGAGGACATTAATGGGACATACTGGAGGAGTCTGGTCATCACAGATGTCGGGAAACATCATCATCAGTGGATCTACTGATCGAACATTAAAGGTCTGGAATGCAGACACCGGAACCTGCACTCATACACTGTATGGACACACGTCAACTGTACGCTGCATGCATCTTCATCAGAACAAGTATGTTTTTGTTTAAGGAATACAGGTATCAGATATACAACATTTATCCTGTTATCTAGTTAGTCCTACTGATGATTTAATACTTATAGCAAAAGATATATAAAATTTATTAAACAATGAAGCTGGCCTTTGAGAATAATGCATGTTAGTTGGAATTATTTTAATACTGTCATGTTTTCAATTATTTCACTGAAAAGAATGAAGGTAACTCAAGAAGCTTTGTGAAAATTCAATAAAACAAAGTCACAGTATATATAATTAAAACACTTGTTTGTTGTCTTTATTCATGTTATCAAGCCTGAGCCAAACCCATCGTGTAGCAGGAGTAATAACAATGTGGCATCTCCTATTCGCACGTTATGTTGAAAACACTAGAAAAGGGTATTGTGTAAATAACAATAGAAATTTAACTATTAGAAATCTTTAAACAAAAGATGACTGTGGAACCAATTTCTAATAACCTATTCTTGACTGTGAATAGAGTTTAAGGTCTTTTAGATGTAATTATAAAAATGAAATTTTAAGATGATAACTCACTCTTAACACAGAAATGATATTTCCTTTGCATGTATGTCTATGAGACTTGCATGCCATTAGCCTTGAGATAATTCCCACCTAAATTCATACGTTTAACGTGAACTGCACTGGTGCATGATGACATCATCATGCGACAATAGCCCTCTACCAGTAGAAAGATGACACAATCTTCATGTGCAGTAACACCCTCTATCACTTGCTCTTGTGATAACTTCATTCTTTTTCATCTGCATTACATTGAACAGACTTGTTCAAATTTCTCATCTATGCTCAATTTGATTAGATTTGTGTTCATTAACAAAACACTGTGGTTTTTGTTTTACATTGGCATTTGTTTCAAAAGCATTGAATATTTTCTTAAATTCTCAAATTATGGTAACTTGAGGACGTTGCAGTCTTTATTCAACTTGTGGTTTACCACATGCTTACTAAGCTGTAGCGAACTTTCTTTTCACTTGTGAATGACCTATTGAACTACGAATTTCACCTGATCCGTTTTCTTTTGTCTCCCTCTTTTAGTTATCTGAGTTAATGCAGCTGCTTTTGAACCCTTTAGGGGATGGTCGTAGGTCACAGGTACATATGTAAGAGTTAAGGCCCCACAAAGCTCCACCTTGTCGAAACGTTGTACATTTGCTGTTATGTTAAACTTATATTAAAGTTTTTCTTCATTACCCATTAAAGCCGTCTCCAGCCATTATTAGTCTCAAAGTGGGTTCCTCGTCATCGAATTCGAAAGCTCCAGTTAGATCAGAGCTTACCATTACTAAAGGACCAAATCTGTTTATTGCCTTCTCTATTGACAAACATGATTAGGTTATAGACTTTGTTTTCTAGCCTTGTATATTGTGTTATCTTCTGACAAATTGTTACTTAATTTACATAAGTTATAAGCTGATGTATGTGGTTGTGCATGAGGGGTCAAGATATGACAAAAGTCAATGATAGGAAATACAAGGCTCAGACTCTTCTTTTTTTTCTTTTAATTACTATTAATGGTAGTATCTAAAATTCAAGATGGCTACCTCAGGTAAAAAGTTAGTTCTGTGGTGGTCATATAATTATTTCTTTTTAAATAATAAATCTTGGTTTCTAGACTTTTTTTCAGTTCATTCAACTCAGCTCAAGAACACTTATATAAGGGTTAAAATTGTTTTTTACTAAATTTGTTCAAATTACATTCACACTTTTTGTAATGAAGGTTGTGTATTTTTAAAATTAACTTAAATGTTAACCAAAATAGTTTCCATTAAAACAGGTAATATTTAAGATACTTGTTGTAAAGTAGATGCAAATCATTTACATACTCTTTTATATGAGGACAAAAAAATACACAATAAATTAAAACCTAGAAAATTTCTGCAATGCTAAGTCATTCATTTTTTTATCCCTCCCCAACCAAAGAGGTTCAAAAGAGATATAGCAATAAATATCTTGTAAGTTTGTAGACATTTACTTTCCATGCAATAACTAGAATTCTAATAATTAACTCTCAACATGGGCTCAGTCGATTTGACCAACTATGTGACCTCTCTGTACTCGTTTGATACTACTAACTTTTAATATAGTAGGTATATCTTCACAAAATTTGGCAAATGTTCAATAAATATTATAAGTCTTTCACATACAAAAATCATATTTTTTAGTGAAGTATTTTTGATAAACTAAAAAAAAAGATATTTCCATGAATATATTGAGTACTTGTATTGACTAGTCCATGTGCAAAGTGATTTTCATGTTAAGATTGAATATACTTTTCTTCAAAAGTTTGATATTTATTTAAGAGGTTTTTAGAGATATATCAAATAAAATTTGACAGTTTTGAGGTGAAGAAAAGTATTTTGAATCTTAACATGAAAATCACTTTGTACTTGGAGCAGTCAACACTCTGACTTAATATATTCAGGACGAAGTTTTATTAAAAATACATAATTAAAAATATAATTTTTTGTATACAAAATACTTGTAATCTTAACTGAAAGCTTGCCAGATTTGGTGATGATACATAAAACATATTGAAAGTTATAGTAATGGAAATTTATGGTTACTTTTGGGTTACGAACTCAGTCATATTGGCCAAGCTCGATGGAAGACGGTTAGATGTATGATAAAGTTTTCTTCATTACTCATTCAAGCCATTTTCTGACTCTATTATAATCCACAAAATAAACTTGTGGTTACTTTTGGGTTACGAACTCAGTCATATTGGCCAAGCTCGATGGAAGACGGTTAGATGTGTTTTCTTCATTACTCATTCAAGCCATTTTCTGACTTTATTATAATACACAAAATAAACTTGTGCAAAACAAACAACTAATGGTCAAGGGATTATGCAATCTCTTTATGGCTATGTTTCAATTAAGATGTACTTAATTTTTCAAAAAGCAGTTGACAATTGAAGAAAAATATGAATTTTTTTATTGTTATTGTTTTTGAAGAAATTGCAACTCATTGATAGTCAGTGGAGAACAACTAATTAATAAGTTAGTAAGTTATAAAACTCTTTGGTGTTTAAAACTGTCACTATAAAAAAAAACATCTCTTCTTTGTCAATGAAGGGTTGTAAGTGGTTCACGAGATGCAACCTTGCGAGTTTGGGACATTGATTCCGGGGAATGTCTCCATGTGCTAGTGGGCCATTGTGCTGCCGTCCGTTGTGTACAATATAACGGGAAGCTTGTAGTTAGTGGAGCATACGACTATCTAGTGAAGGTGTGGAATCCTGAACGTGAAGAATGTCTCCACACTCTGCAAGGACACTCAAACAGAGTTTACTCCTTACAGGTAGTATGAATTTGAAAGTATTGAGTAGATAAGATTGTATCAAAATTAATTTCAAGATGGATACTTGACCTAATAGATTTTAAAATGTTGTAAAATTAATGTTTGTGTATGCAGCTGTAAATATGCAAGTAAACTCTATGTAATTTTGTAGTGAAATTTCATTCATAATTATTTTACATATTAATGTTCACTTGTTTTTGTCGGTTGTAAAAATACTATTATGAAATTGAGTAAAATAGACTATATTATTAATACACAGTACTTGATCCTGCAAAACTCATAATGTCTTATATTATTGAAGTTGGAAAACGTTTTATTAATTTACAATAATAACCTTTTTTTTTAACTTAATTCACTGAAATATACTTTGATCATTTACTGAATATGTTCATAATATCAAAGTTTGATCAAAAATAGGCTTAATAAATAGATTGGAACCATAAAATGTAAGTTACAAACTAAAAAGCCATTCATGTACAGTGAACAAATTTAAGACATTTTAAATAGTTGCCCAAAGGATAACCATTAACCAGACTTTAGTTGCCCTGTATAAAAATAAAGATTGTCCTTTCTTAAGTAAAAGCTTTTCTTCCTAAACTTATTCCAAAGTTTGACAGGGTTTGCTGAGACAGTCACCTAGTGACAATATCAGATAAGAACAAAAACAGAGAAACTCAAGTTTATATTGCAGTGCCTTCTAGCAATTTCACTGTGACATCCTTGACACAACATTGTGTATTCACTAGTGCCTCATCAAACAACTTGGGCCTACACTTTGGAAATACCATAAAATGCTCATCAACATACTATGAAAAACATTGATACAAATCTATTTTGTTTTTACAATTTGAAAAATTGCCATATACAAGCAAGCTCAGGTGAAATGGTAGGATGCAGTAGTGGGATCACTACCTGAATCCCTCAGAAATACAAAATAGTGAAAATAATGCAATAACTTGCTGAATGTTGTGTACAGAACCTAGTCTTCAGAGAACTTATTTCTGTACTATGGTAAGCAATACAATAATATGGGTACATTATGATTACTGTACATAGTGAACAAGTCTTTGTTTACATCTTAAAAAGCCTGCAAAAAACAATTGTGTTTGTGTACATTTTCATCCATGTTGCACCCATTCCCACTATACAATTCTCACAGGATAAGAGATTAGCTCTAAGCTTTCATTAGTCGCTACCATAACATGAAGAGATTTGCCACTGTAACAGTTATTTTGTGCCAAAACAAGCTCAACTTTATGTGCACCAAAAAAAGTCCATGTATTTCTTTTATCTCAATACTGAAAACACCTCTTCTGAGCAGAAAGACATTGATAATATTTTAACCTCTCCAATGGAATTGTCAACTTCTAACAACCATTAAATTTGATCTCTGATATGTAACCAACTGACTAGAAACTTTTAATGATTAAGATGTGTTAATAATATCTCGCAAAGTTCAACCATCTTAGGAGGTTTAGGTTAGTTCTGAATCCATTACTCAGTAACCAGTGCAAAATAGGCTTCATAGGTATAACAATTAATTGACAAAATTATTATAACCAATAAGATTTAATGTTACTAAGTATAAAAAATAAGTCATTATTTACAAAACTCACAAAAACATATACTGATAAAAAGAATAAGAACAAGTATACCCAATAGATGAATCAGTGCATTCTAATCATTACAGGTGTTTGTTATATGGTTAGGCTTACTTGTAATTAGACTAGCATATAAAATTAGTTATTATTTGTTAGGTTAATTGTTTGTACCTTGCTCTGACCAGAAGCTATTAATAAATATAGAATAGTCTTAATGAATCTAAAAATTATTCCAAACATTGTAATCAGTATAAAGTTAATGAAACTAGTGCAAAGAAACTTGAAGTGGATCAGTACATTCCAAGTGCCAGTTGTTTGCTCCCAAGATCCACGCAGTTAAGACAGGATATTACTTTTTTATTTTTAATTACTAATCATAGAAACTTATTCTATTAACTAGCATAAGTACCCAGCTTTGCTTGGGTTATTAGGTTGATATATTGTAGATGACTATGTCAGTGTGTGTATTGTGAACCCGTTTTAGCTTAAAAGTATAACCTATATATTTTTTTTGCTAAGCAACATGAAATGAAGCCATTGTTAGAATGCATTGTTACCAAAATGCTCTGGCTTTACTATATATTAGAAGTTGTTATATAAAGAACCACTTCTTTTCTTTATGGCTTTTTGCTAGCTAGCCTCATTCGTAAGATACGCATGCATGCACACATGCACATGAGTGTCTGTGATTTCTATTTGCAATATAAAGGACCATTTATTTTCTATGTGGTTTTTCACTAGCTTGCCTCATAAAAAGATGCACGTGTGCATGGATAAGTAATAATACCCAGGTGCACACCCTCATGGTCTACTTAGTATGGGTGCAAAATTTTAGGTTTCTAGGTTCTTTCCTCTTGAAACTATAGTGGTCACACAAACACGCAAGTGCACACGTGAGTGGTTGTATGTGCTATCTATTTATAATATAAGAAACTACTTCTTATATGTGTGGTTTTTTGTTAGCTTGCTTCATTATAAGGATGTGCATGCATGTGAATAAGATAAGTAATACCCATGTGCACACCCTCGGTATGGGTCCATAATTTCAGGTGTCTAGGTTCTTTCCCCTTGGAGTTAGGTAGTCACACCTTTTTCCTCTGTGGTTTTTTGCTAGTTTACCTCATTAAAAAGATGCGCATGTGTGTGCACACGTGGATAAATAATACCCATTTTCTATTTTTACATTACAAGGTTTTAACTACATTCTGAAAACTTCAGCTTACCTTTACTGGGAAATCCTCTTGGATGAATGAAAAAAATTGTTGCAAGCTACTTGTGATCAGTTTCAATGCTATTGACACAATATAACTTTTTGTAATTTTTATTAACAGCTTTGGATGTATAAAAATACTTAACAATTTCTGTTTATTTTGCATTAAACATTATATTGCATTATGAATATACACTACAACATCTGTGTAATCTTTGCAGACAGCTGAAATTAATAGTGATTTGGCAATATATATAGATGTAAGGATAGATTATCAGATGAAAATATCTCACTTTGATATGTTCCCATTTGTACATATAAAAGCTCAATGATATCAGTATTAAATGATACATGACTCAAAATTAAATTTCTACAACTGAACAGCCATTACAAGTGTGTGTATGTGTGAGAGTTTATATATGTACATACACATATTTTTTTTTTTTCCAGTTTGATGGCCTTCATGTTGTCAGTGGTTCCTTGGACACCCACATTCGGGTGTGGGATGTAGAAACGGGTGCCTGTAAACATCTTCTGAAAGGGCATCAGTCACTTACATCTGGCATGGAGCTCAGAAACAACATCCTAGTCTCAGGAAATGCTGATTCTACTGTCAAGGTGTGGGACATTATTACAGGGAAATGTCTACATACATTAGCAGGTGAGCAAACATCTGTAGTATAGGAAAACAATTACTATGGTAACTCATTGGCTTTTCAAATATTTGTCAGCAAAGAAAATAAAATGTATGAAATGATGTATTTTAACATTTGAATGTTATACTGAAATATATACTGAAAATTTTATATGAACTATGTATGACAATAGAATTGAAATAACTTGTTTGTCAAGTTTTGAAAAACTGTTTTGTAGAAAAAAAATACATTCAATTTGCACAGCTAGCAAATTAAGAAATAAAAAAATAACCTCCTGTTATTTCTACTCACACCAGAAAGTGGCCTGTTTACCTTTATAGTTTAAAGTAATAACATCTTCCTGCCTTAATAGGAGCTATTAAAAGTTGTTTGGCTGGTATATTAACCATGTTTCTCTTTCCTTTTTCATATTTAAAGTTTTTATGTTGCTGATTGTTATTAATGTTGTTAGGAAGATAACCTTGCTTGACATCAGTAAAGTAACTTTTTGATGAAAACAAAATTAACAATATTATTTCACATCCAACTGATATTTGCAAATTTAAGAAATATTGAAAATGTTTGAAGTAGAAATATGTATATATTTGTTTTACATTGATTAAAGTAATTGTTGCTTTTACTGAAATTAATTACACAAAAAAGAAAGTTTGAGACACTTCTTGTTTCTATCTCTGCTGTTCAAGGAATATTGTTATTAAAGGCAAGAATTTTCTTTTGTAATAAACATTGGGTGTTAATGCAAAATATTTCATTGTATTATGATTACCTTAGAATTATGACTGTTAACACTACTAGAATGATGTCTAGTTGTCAGGATTCCAAACACTGTAGATCTAAGTATTGAAATAAGTAAAACTTTAAGTAAATTAAAGGTATTCTTTAGAACCTGGCATAACTAGTACTATTCAATATCTGCCATGACTGGTCTGTAAATAGGAATCTAATTTGTATTGAAATTTGTTATAAATATATACAATATGTTTTGTAAAACTAGGTCCACCTGACACTGCTTTATGTAAACATAATTGTTAGTTTGATGATTGCAGTTTGAAAAGTAATATGTCTTTTGTTTCTATCACCGAGCTGATGTTTTTTTTGGAAATAATACTATTTTTTCCTTAGTGACTTAACATATTTTTGATATCTTTATTAATCAGGTGACAATAAACACCAAAGTGCGGTAACATGTCTTCAGTTTAACAGCAAGTTTGTGATTACATCATCTGATGATGGAACTGTAAAATTGTGGGACCTCAAGACTGGAGATTTTATTCGTAACCTTGTGTCATTAGACAGTGGAGGCAGTGGAGGGGTGGTGTGGAGGATTAGGGCCTCCCCTACCAGACTAGTGTGTGCTGTAGGTAGTCGTAATGGCACTGAAGAAACAAAACTTTTAGTCTTAGACTTTGATGTGGAAGTCAAATAACCCTTACACCATATAGCTGTGCATGAACTTCATATCATATTAACTGAAAGGATAGCCATTGGTCTTTCAAATGCCTCATGTATATTCTTCTCTCTACCCACCATGATTCCAGAAGACTTTGTCATCATATCTGAATCTCTCCATTGTATTTTGACACTGGGGAGTTGAGGAATCAAAGGTGTTTCTTAAGGCAGCAGAATCAGCAAATTGAACTTTCTCAAGTAGTAGAAGTGTGAGAAGCAGAACATGTTACTTCAGATTTTCAGAAAGACTCCAGAGAAAGGAATGCCATTGGTCTTTCAGTCTTGTTGTGTTGTCTTTTTCCTAAAGTTTTAGTAAAATGATGTCGTAAAAACCTTAGAATCTCTTAAAATTAATGCTCATAACAATCAATAGGCATTGAGCAAGAAGGAAAATGTTCATATCCTGAGTGGTGTATTTTAGGGGCCAAATTATGCCCTTGGTTTGATTGTTTTTTGTTGTTTTTTTTAAGATTAATTTTAAAATGTTTGTGGGGTAAATTCACTTTAGCTATTTTTTTTAAAGCCAGGATATGTTCTGAAACATTGTGTACTTGCTTCATACAGATGATTTGTGTCAATTACATTGTGAATGACTCTTTTTTTTTTTTTATGTTATGTTTTGTTAAAAGTGAGGAGTCCAACTGGTCACGTTGAAATTTCAGGATAGAATCCACAAAGCTTGTGTACAATATTTCCTTATAAGCTTTCACGTTTTGTTGTAAATAAACAGTTTTGGATTTTATTTGACTTTGAATTATTTTGTTTTTAAGTTCATACAATGAACACAACAAAGATGATAAACAATTTGGGTTCAGGAAATTTTCTTACCTAGGGCCTAACACAAAACATAGGAAATGTGAAATTAAGTTATTACTAACATTAGGCTTAGTATTCAGTTGGAATTTTGAAGAAACCAAAAATTTCTATAGCTGAAACTTTGACTTTTTCGTTATTAGTGTTCACATTGGTTATTGTGTGTAGCCAATAAAGTCTAAAATCTGTATTTAAATTAAATATGACATTGTGACTGACAATTGATAAGAAAATGTATTTTAAAGTTTTAACAAAGCTTCTAATGTTGAGAAAAATGGCCTATCTTGGTCATTCCATGTACATACACAATAAGAGAGCATCTGATGCCTATGAAGGCAGATAGTACCCATTACTTTTTTTATATGAGCCACAATACACAATAACTCAAGAAAATAGCGTTATATGATTGTCAGATGGGTTAGTTTAAAGACATATCAAAACATCATTCTTTGGCATAGGCATTATGTTTTAATTTCATGTCATATAAAAAACAAAAGTCCTTTGAGTAGAAAGAGTACACCAAAGTTTTGAGCAACATAATGGGATTTACTAGGCTCTCACCAGCCTGAAGTTATAAAGGGACTCTTGTACCACACATATTTAATCTGTTTTTTTTTAATTATTTTGTTTTAATATGTTAATAGTAATATACGCATACTTAATCTAGTATTTTTAATGTGTTACTAGTAATATATGCATACTTAATCTAGTATTTTTAATGTGTTTAGTAATATATGCATACTTAATCTAGTATTTTTGTGTTAATAGTAATATATGCATACTTAGTCTAGTATTTTTTATGTGTTAATAGTAATATATGCATACTTAATCTAGTATTTTTTGTGTGTTAATAGTAATATATGCATATTTAATTAGTATTTTTAATGTGTTTAGTAATATATGCATATTTAATCTAGTATTTTTTGTGTTAATAGTAATATATGCATACTTAGTCTAGTATTTTTTGTGTGTTAATAGTAATATATGCATATTTAATCTAGTATTTTTAATGTGTTTAGTAATATATGCATACTTAATCTAGTATTTTTGTGGTAATAGTAATATATGCATACTTAATCTAGTATTTTTATGTGTTGATAGTAATATATGCATACTTAATCTAGTATTTTTTGTGTTAATATTAATATATGTATACTTAATGTAGTATTTTTGTGTTAATAGTAATATATGCATACTTACTCTAGTATTATTTATGTGTTAATAGTAATATGTGCATACTTAATCTAGTATTTTTAATGTGTTTAGTAACATGCATACTTAATCTAGTATTTTTTGTGTTAATAGTAATATATGCATACTTAATCTAGTATTTTTAATGTGTTTAGTAACATATGTATACTTAATCTAGTATTATTTATGTGTTATTAGTAATATATGCATACTTAATCTTGTATTTTTATTGTGTTTAGTAACATATGCATACTTAATCTAGTATTTTTTGTGTTAATAGTAATATATGCATACTTAATCTAGTATTTTATGAGTCACTGATGAATATTTGCATTATTTTATTTATTACTTGGTGAATACACTAATTTGTATGACAAATTTAGTAAAGTAGCTATGTCTGAGTTGCCCACAGAACGTCGATCTTTTCTCTCTATATTTTTGCCTTTTTTTTTCTGATATTTCACAAAAAATTCTCCATTTATACCAACTGTGTAGCTGTTTGGAGGTGGTAATTTTGAACTACATTTTTTGGTCTTTGAGCAAAATTATTTTTTAACGGTATTGATGTACTTGGACCTATTATCACACAAGGCGTCGTTAATAGTATAGCACTATTCAGGTATACTAATATCCAACAGATAAAAGTTCTGCAAGAACAGAGGTTCCAGAAATGCAGAGAATAAATAGAACACAAACCCACAGGAGACACAAAAGAAAAATTAAATCTTTATTTACAAGTGTTATGTGTAGTGCATTTTACCTATTGGCCAGTTTACCATTTTTCATTGTAACTTCTACTGAGGCTGGAGAAGAAATTTTCCAAACACATCTGCACAGGACAAAGGAAGAATTCTACCATACCATACTTGCAATCAGTGAGTCCAAGCGTAATCTACCATAATCCCAATCTGCACATATCATTGACTATTCCACATAAAATATAAGGGAGAAAACCCTTTACTTGTACCAGTTTGTACAAATATTTGTTCTGCTATTAATGTATATAATTTTTATGTAAATATAAACTTTAAACATCCAGTTAATGAGAGTGTAACTACATGTGGAACACGTACAAGAAACATTTCCAGAATAATGACGTATTCTAAACTAATGGAAGGCTAAAATCGGTAGCTATTTCAGCTTTGACAATCCTTCCCTTCCTTATCTCGGGGTTGTTAATTATAGCTTGCAAGGTGCTGTATTTATTTCATTCAAGTGACACACAAGATTCTATGATATAACAAAGACAACAGAAGGGTAACCCATAAGCATCAGCACCCATTAAAAGTAAGTCAAAAATAAAATTAAATCAAAACGAATAGTTACCGATATTCATACAACACCAAATAAAATAAAGTAAAATTATAACATAAAAATGAATATATATAAAACTGAAAGGCTGTTCAGTTACATTCTTAGAAATAAAATTTAGGATTTGTAAATTGAAATTGAAACTAGAATGTAAAATAATTACGAAGTACAGAATAATCAAGATAATTAAAATGCAACTGACATCAAATAGAAAATTGTATGCATTTAAAATGCTGCCATATGTCCTGCTACTGATGTGAGCTTTTCAGGATTCTCTCCTAGTCATTGTGATTTGCTTGCGATGTTCCATGTCTTGGAATCGAACAACATGGTCACTATGGCGGGTGTATAATTTCAAAAGTTGATTACACAGATACATCAGAAATGCAGTCATCCGTGTAGTTATTTCACGTGACAATGTACGTTTCGAACATGCTAGGCAGTTCACCATAAGCCTCTCGGAGGTGTAATACACTGTCAGGATGTTCACAAGATTCATTTATGAGTCAGAATTGAAAACTATGTTAGCTGAACCTTCGGTATGCTACAAGTTCGGCTAGAATGATCAATCAGGCCATAACCCAACTCTTTCTTAGACAAGATCATTCACAAAAAGGTGTATCACACGTGCTATGCCTAATATTATTTGTGGAAGAGGCCTTCATTATTATGACGTAAGAACACGTTTATTCCGAATGCAAGTAAAGAGGCAATACACATAGCTACGTGTCCACATATGGAACAGGGCAGATGGAGCTAAGTCAGCCTGATTCCTGACTGTGCCAGCCCTTGGCAACACTCAGTGAGTTCAGTAATCTCACATGTGCGTGAGTTCTTCCACTATTGTCTTAGTTGTCAAAGGTATAAGAGCCCAGATTCAATGGAGAAGGGGCAGGGAATAAAACTGCGAAACACAGAGGTCACTAAGAGACACTCTCCACTGGACAAAGAAAGCAAATGCAAATTCTGAATTCAAGCATACTATATATCCAGTTCTCCACTAGTCTAGCTACAGATAAGACTTATTTTTCCCTAGAAGATATTCATGTTTAGCATTGCAGTGATCTATTTTGTGGGAAGGTATACTCAAAGACTAAACACTCGCTACATTGTGGGCACACTTAGTGTGTTTTTCTATTTTAGTTAAAGCTTTTTGGTTCATTCTTTCAACTAGTCTAGCTACAGATAAGACTTATTTTTTCCCTAGAAGATATTCATGTTTAGCATTGCAGTGATCTATTTTGTGGAAAGGTATACTCAAAGACTAAACACTCGCTACTCTCTTGTGCCCAGGTTTGTTACAGTGCCAGCAAAGTCCCTCAAACTTCTCTGAAAGCTGACCTTTTCTGGCCTTGAATCCGGATGACTGTACCAACCTTGGTACCTCTGTGCTGGACTTAACGTAGGATTCAAATTCGAGAGCTCTGGCCATTGCATCTTGCATGGTAGAGGGATGTGCTTGCTTCGCTTGTATCTTAAGTTGTGGACTGTCCAAGGCATCTACGAACTGATCCCTCAGCAACAACTTGAGGAGATCGGGAGGTGCAGTTGGGTAGGCCTTGTGTGCCATGCTTTCCAGGTCCTGAGCCAGCTCTTGCAGGCTCTCCCCTTTAGCACGGACTCTCGTCCTAAACCTAGCCCTGTTGACTTCTGACTGATTTTGGGTTCTGTACCTGAATTCTAGAGCCGCTACCAGTGCTCTATAGTTGTCTGTCGTCTGCTGACAACTGTCCAAGTATTTCCAGTGGTTGCCTCTTCAAGCTCGTTGCGAGATATACTGCTTTCTGCTCCTCTGTCCATCCATTCATCTCTGCCAGTAGCTCAAATTGTGCTCTATATGCTTCCCATGGTGCTTTCCCTTCGTATTCCTCTGGCTTCCCTCGTACTGGATCACTCCTATTACTGACATTCATATCTGGGATGTGACTTCTAACGGGACTGAATATGTCTGCATTAGGGTTTAGCTGTGGGGTCTGGAAGGGGCTTGCCATTGTCTGGGCTGATTAAGTCGACAGTTAATGTGTTCTCCTCGTGTAAAATACAATAAATCATCCTAATTCGCTTTTGAATTTACTAATGTTTTCCATTTGTACTTCTTGCCACTGTTGTAGTATCTCTTCTTGTTTATTTTTTCTCCTCCAATAGCTGTTGTAATCTCTCTTCTTGTTTATTTTGCTGTTCGAGCTGCCACTGCTGCAAGTTTTCTTGCTACTGCTGTAATCTCTCTTCTTGTTTATTTTGCTGTTCGAGCTGTCACTGTTGCAGGTTTTCTTGCAACTGCTGTAATCTCTCTTCTTGTTTTTTTTTTCTCGTTCTTATTGTTTCTTTTCTTTTTCCTCCAAGAACTGCTGTAATTTCTTTTCTTTTTCCTTCAAGAACTGCTGTAATTTCTCTTCTTGTTTCTTTTCTTTTCCTTCTTGTTTCTTT